AGGCACTTTATGATTGGCTGGTGTCCGAACGCCTCTGATCTTCTCGCTCAGTGATTGGCTGGTGTCCGAACGCCTCTGATCTTCTGGCTCAGTGATTGGCTGGTGTCCGAACGCCTCTGATCTTCTCGCTCAGCTCTTCTTCTCTCTTTGCACATAGTCCAGGTTCTGCCCTCAGTCATGCGGCGTCTGGGTGGAAAACTCAAAGTAGGCACATATTCCAACTCTGTTCACCAGGAGCGCCCGCAGCCTCTGGGTTACCATGGAAACACCACTTCCTCAAACTCAGAAGGCCTCAGTCAGCAATAGCTACCTGCCAGCAAACCTCCCAGTCTGGTGGTTTTCAGCTTCCGCTGCAGAATCACGTTTCTCTCTTCTGAATAAGAAGTTCTTTGTAGGAAAACATAAAAACTCCAGACGGGTTTATTTGGACTTTGGCTGCTTGGTTTAGGTCCAGAAGTCTGCTGCTAGCAGCTAAAGACGGGACCAGTTTGCCACTGGGAGTCTCCTCCTGGGAGCCGCACCCGGTGGAAACTGGAGGAAAAGCAGCCAAAGTCCAAAGAGCTGAAGCAGCAGAATCTGGACCTTCTAGTGGAAGATGAGTCCATATAAGCTCCCATGATGTTCAGGTAGACCTGAGAGGACCTTCATGGATCTATCTGCCTCAACAGCTGATTAACGCACACAAGCACAGGCTGGCTCAGGACGGCCCGTCCCCGCCGGGTCCAAGGACTCGCTCTGGAACCCGACAGGACGGCGCAGAACTGAGGGAGCCGTCAGTCCGAGTCACTTTCTAATGCAAGCTCTGAGCGAGTCCGATTCAGGAACATCTCACATGTCCATCAGCTCCATGTGAAGATCAGCTCTGAGTCGGCAGCCAGAGACGGAGAACTCTTGGTTTTTATTTTTGTTTTCATGTTTTTTGTGTCAATTATTGCTTTTCTCTGAATCCGGTTGCTCTAATCTTCCTTTGAGTTTGTTTTGAAACGTCCAGTATTGTAGTTTTCTAGTTAAGAGCTGAAATCATAAAGGAATCCAGCTTGTTTCTGTGTAAAAATCACTCCAGGAGGAGAAGGTTCTGAAATAAAGAGGAGAATAAAAACATGCTGTTTGGCTCTGTGTGACATCACTTCCTCTAAAAGCATCGAATCTGCAGAGCAGATTCTGACCAGGATCTACCGGATCCACTGCTTCTGGTTAGATTCTATTCCATTTATTTCTATAGCTCCACTTTACAACACATCTCATCTCAGGTCACATTATAGATCCAGACCATTCAGATCATCCGGTCTGACTTTACAGGATGAGCAGGTAGAGACATAGAAACACTGATCTATAAACACTTTCTATGTTAGAAAAGCTAACGGTAAACCAGCTCCACAGGAGGCTGTCTGGCAGAGAAAGAGTTAATAGACGAACCGATCCAGTTTCAGTCGGAGGATGAAAGAAGATCCAGTTAGTCCCAGTAGAAGCTGAGCCCAGAGCTACATGAGTGAAATGGGACTAAACACTGGAAAACAGGCCGAGCTCCAACATCTAGAAATAAAGGTGTTGGTGTCTATAATCCAGATGAAGCTAATCCGTTACATAGATTACAGGCAACTTTCTGCTTCTGGATGCAGATAAAACAGAAGTTCTAGTCTTTGGAGGAAATTCTAGAAACCTCTTTGATCTGGGATTTAAATGACAGGTCCTGATCAAAAA